TCAATATAACCTCTAATATGAGCCAATTCCTCACTGACCCCACACCAATACCACCAACCTCTCACAGTCTCCTTTACACAGTCTCTTTACATCCTTGCTTCCTTAGAAACTTGGCTGTCTCCTAGGGATCCTCGCCTGCCCTCTCACTCTCACATATCCTAGGATCTAGAAACCGACTAGGTTTCCTCCAAGCTCTGTGTGGCTTCCATACCACATCTTCCTCTCACTCTTTCTTCCTTCAAATGCTTGAAGTTCATGCCATCAAACTGCATCCTCTTTACCCTTCTTTATTGTGATTATTTATCAACTACCCCTACACTGTCCAGTCACACTACCATCATCCTACCCTGAATGAGACTTCACATTCCACATGGGTGACTCAGACAACATCTGCTCTTTCAATTCCTTGTCCTCCTCCATCCCATACCCCTCCCCTCCCCTCAGCCACCTTCCTCATGGCCACGGCCAGGATGTCTCTCCAATAACTAGGCCACCCATTCTCTGGCCACTTTCTATAATTTATTTTATTTGCTCTAATAGCCTCATCATTTTATCCCACTAGGACCTCTAATGAATTGTCTACTTTTTCCCTTCCTGTCACCTTTTCATGCTGTCTCCTTCCCACCACTCTCTGCCACCTCCTCCATTCACACATCTCTGTTCATCGGTCTTTCCTAATCCATCCTTACTGAGATTAATGCAATTCTTCCCATTCTTGACTTAAAGCCTAATATTCCTGGGAAAGTCATGTTAATTTAAATTTATGGCCATAAAACTCATATGGGCATTTTCTGTTTCCTGGTATATTTTCAAAAAAAAAATCCACTTGTTACTGCTGAACTTATCCCCTACTCTTCATGTCTGCAAAAGCCCTCCCTACCCTCGGACTTGGCCATGCTTTGCTGAGAATGTAGATGTCACCAGACGAGATCCGTCTCATTCCTCCACTGTCCACATTCATCTGCACCTAAGCATGCTACTTCTTCTCTGGTCATGGACAGACTGTCCTGAACCTATGACCTTGGCTTCCGTTCTGCATTTGTTTCCTTTTCTTCAGCCTGCTCCAGTCTTTTCATCAAGCTCTTCTTCCTCATGTCAATACAAGGATATCATATCAAAGAACTCTTGCCCAATATTCACCCATCATTTTGTCCTTATCTTTACATCTGTTGCACTGGCTCCTTTATTTGGTTTTCACCCTTTTCCCAACTCTGTTAAGAGGATAACCAAGCACAGTTTTCTGCCCTTGACTCTAAACCCACCTCAACCTAAATCACTTTTCCCTAGAATGCACAGATTAATACACAGAATGAAGGTCTGGGGAGATGATTCAGTCGATAAAGTGCTTGCTGCATAAACAAAAGGACCTGAGTTCAATCCCTAGTACCCATATAAAAAGCTGGGCATGGTGATGCTCATCTGTAATCCAAGTGCCTGGAGAGGCAGAGACGGGGGTTCCTCGGACTTGCTGGGGAGCTCCTGGTTCAGTGAGAGATCCTACCTCAAAAAATAAGTTAGAAATTGATCAAGAAAGACACTCAACTTCAATCTCTGGCCTCTACATACACACTCACTTGCACACACATGTGTGCATATACATAACATGTACACATATACATAAAAAATACAGAATGATTACATGTCCTGGTTAGATATTTCCTATAATTTAATGGCAAAACTGGGCACCCATTAAAGATGGTCTTTACTGTCAATTTTTCTTAGATATATTTATTCTAAAAGTTAAGAGATGCCTGTAACTTCTACTTCCTTTCTGAAACATTTAAGCAGAATTTATGATAAGGAAAGCAATATGGATTTTTATAGCCGAGATCTTCAGGTGTGTTCAGAGTATAAGGCCGTCAGTTATGTGGCTATTGGTCTTCTACTCCATAGCTGTGTGCCACCAGGTTTGAAACGTTTTTTCCGGTTCACTTTCAGCTCATAAAATGAACATATAATTATTCTAGAAAATGTTACAAATATAGAAAAGTGAAACAAGAATAATTACTCATAATTTCTTCACTAGTCCTCATTTTCTGTTTTTACATATATTTCACTCACATTATTGTATCATAGCATAAATTAATGTTTATTAAGCATTGGCTATATCCAAGTATTGTACCAAACACATTAACTGTATTAACTCACCTGATCCTCACAAAACTGTAAGGTGGCTATTGTGTTTATCCCGGTGTCAGTTAAAGAAAATGAGAACTGCTCAAGCTCAAGCCCAGACAAAAAGCACAGCATGGAGGGAACAAGGTAGACACAAAGTCCCACTTCTAGCTAAGGAACTATTGGCATTTTGATAGGTGCTGGGAAAGGAAGAGTCGGTCTTCCTTAAGGGTGTGACCCCTAGTAAGTCAGTCAAACTCCAGGGCAGGTTCCAAACCCAAGAGTATTTGGAAAACAAAAGTGGGGCAGATCTGGGAAAAGTTGGGAGATGGGAAAATGTGATCAAACTACACTGTATAAAGTTCTCAAAGAATTACTTTTAAAAAATTTAATGAGACTTAGAGAGTTTACATAATTGCTCATTAATAGCTAGTGAAGTAATAGAAAAACATTTTGGAAACTTTGTAAGTTATAAAAACCTGCAGCTGTAGTTTGGAAAATTTTGTAACAATGTAAGATGTGATATACTTTATGCAATTTCTTCACAAAACCTGTTTGTGATATTGATGGCTCTAGGAAGGACCATGAAAGGTAGTTTTGTATCTCTTATATACTGGCAGGATCACTGCTGTGGTGTAAACGGTCCATCAGACTGGCAGAAATACACGTCTGCCTTCCGGACTAAGAATAATGATGCTGACTATCCCTGGCCTCGGCAGTGCTGTGTCATGAACAAGCTTAAAGAACCTCTCAACCTGGAGGCTTGCAAACTTGGCGTGCCTGGTTATTATTACAATCAGGTGAGTCCCTTCCCTCTGTAGACTTACCAGAAAGTTCTTCTTCTCTCTATGAGGAAAATAATAGTCAACCATAAGTTATATCTGTAAGTAAGGAGTTCTACATTTTCCTGAATCTCGTGATAATCATTTCCTTGTCTGTTAGAAAACTGTGAGCGCTACTTTAGAACTGGTACAAATTTGTTTTTTAATAAAATTAATAGGACAAAAGGACTATTGTAGCAGTAACCAATTTTGTGTAAATGAAGACAATTTGTATGACATCTAGAATTGGTTTTTCCAAGAAATATTTGCATTCAACTAAGATTTACAAAACCTTTGTAAAATGAACTTTGGAAAGGATGATATGCAAAAATATTATTCCAGTTCAAAAGCACATGTGGTTGCTGGGAGTGACTCCAACCTTTGTGCATGCATATTCTTTTCCATAGGAACAAAGGGCAGTGGGGATGGGATATTAAATTGCTGATTTGGACTGAAGATAGTTTACATACAGATAGATTTTGAAAAAATCTTTCTAGGGCCAGTGAAAATGATCTGATGGTGATCGTGAAACATTTATTGAGTTCTTCCCAAATGTCAGATGCTGTTCCATGTGTCATACACATGCTAATGCCTTTGACACTCAAAAGTAGGTACCTGTGTGATCGCTATTCCATACATAAGGAATGGAGCTAGAGATGCTAATCAGAACCTTGCCCAAGCTCCTATAATTAGTAAACAGCCCTTAGGCTTCAAACCTCAAGCCTTCCAGCTTCAGAGCACAGACTACCTCCAAAAGGCTTGGAAATAGTCCCCCAAAGTCCTGGTGAGAACTCCCATGCCTCTGTAGGCAGCATCTGCTGACACTGCACACCAGAAAGATGTGCCATGCCTTAGGAAGAAACCAATTTGCTAAATAATTGAGAAGCATCAGGCTCCTCAGTATGGGAGTAACTGCCACCAACCACACATCTGGAATGAGAGACTTTACACTGCTGGTTGTCATTACTGTACCTGGCAGGGTACCTGGACTAAAATTGGAGGTGTTGATTCATTAAGGACATGAGGGTGGTGAAGATTTTGCAGGAGTGTTCAGACAACCCTCACTGAGCTTCTGTCCTGGCATTTTTTCCTTAGTTATATTCAAGCTAAATAAAAGCTAAATGTGTTGCTTATCAGTATGAAATATAGCTATCATTCTCTCCACTAATAAAATAGTTTCAATATTTTACCTTAGAACCAACTCATACAAATCAGCCTTGATTGGATTATGGGCGTGTATAAATAGCATCATCTCTTTGAAAAAGGCAAAAAGGGCCAGGCATGGTGGCGAATGCCTTTAATCCCAGTACTTGAGTACTTGGGAGGCAGAGACAGGTGGATCTCCATCTACATAATGAGTTCCAGGCCAGCTGGGGCTACAGGGAGACCCTGTCTCAAAAAGACCAAAAAAAAAAAAAAAGGAACTCCACCTTCCACCTTCAGCTTATTTCATAGCCACGTCTCCTCTTTCCTTGGCACACTTAACTTTTTAGCTGTGGAAATAAACCTAAAAAACCTAAAACCACTTCCTTTCTCAGGTTCAGATAGTTGAGCTTAAGGGAGAAATACAAATTAATTCTTTCTCCTCTGGTTCTCTTGGGACTGCAACATCCACCTTGACGCCTTCCTTTTCAGTGATTGGCCTTGTCTATTTTCAGAGTCTCCATCTCCACTCTCTACCAGCTGAACCACAACCACAAATCATCGCCCCTTAGCGTGACTCTTCCACCAAATTCCCAAGTTCTGACACGTCTCCCTCTGTCCCTTAGTCTTCCTACTCCCACTTCCTCAGTCTCACTCTTCACCCTGAACAGACTCTTATCAAGCTTCCTGACTCTCCCTATTATAGTCCCACAAGATTCCCACACGTCACCACTTTCTGACATACAGATCCTGCTAATTCCACTCTAACAATCCTTCACCATGCAACAAAATAATCTACTGTACTTTGCTCCTGTTTTTGTACTTACTGTGTTATATTTGTTCAGAAATCTATTTTCACAGGTCTCCTTAAGGATTTTGTATTACTCCACACTATATCTTCAGTACTTGGTATAATGCCTAATGCAAAGCTGACAATAAATGTTTGGTGGATGGGTGAATGACAGAGTGAATGACTCTTTTTTTTTCACATCCACTTTGAATCTTTTCAAGCTCTACAATGCACAAAGGTGTTTGAAAACTAGGCAAGACAGTATAAGTGTGGTAATGATAGAAAAACCAGAATTACACACATACACACACACACACACACACACACACACACACACACACGCTCTATCAGACTCAGAAATGCTACATGCAAATCGTGAAATGGGCCCAGAAAGTAAAGCAACAATAAAATGACTCTTGGAAACTCACCAATGAGATGAAAAACAAGGAATTTTGCCTGTGCGTTCCATAAATCAAGTCCTTTTTAGTCTTGCCACAGCTAATTGTCCAGTCCAATATGAGCTAACATAAATGGGCCCTTACATATAGTATTAGATGACCGATTACCTTCTAAGATTTTCAAGAGGAGGGGCACATTTTGTGTATTGCAAATGGGGGTTATAATCATTGTTTAATGTCATTCATTCCCTCTGGTTTGTTTGTTCATTCGTTTGTTTGACGGTATCGTTCTGTAGCCCAGGCTGGCTTTGAACTCATTTATGTAGCCCTGGATGGCCTCAAACTCATGATCCTCTTGCTTGAATCTCCTGAATGTTAGGATTACAAGCATGTGCCACCACACTCAGCTTTCATTCTGTGAACAGTTATTAGTTATCTCCTGTATGTTAGACACTCATTCTAATTTCTAGTATTCAACAATTAAGATAAAATCTCTACCCTTGTGAAGCGTGCATTCTGGTATGGAAGGCAAATGATAAACACACTACTACGCAAATGCATGGTAAAATTTCAGGTAGTGATAAGTGCCAGGAGCAGAAATCAAACAGAATTTGCATATGGAGCAAGATGGGGGAAAGCTGTTTTCTCTGTATTTGTCGGGAAACAGCTTTGTTGAGGTGACATTTGCAGAGCTCTGATTTAAGTGAGGACATGAGGAACTGGACCGGTGGAGACACATCTAAGCAAAGGAACAGCAAGATCAGAGACTGGAACATTCTTAGATGTTTGGAGGGATATCACAGAGACCAGTTTTACAAGGCTAGAATTTGTGCAACATGGCTAAAGGAAAAGATTAACCTAGATCTAGTGGGTGGGTTCAGGGGTCTGGGGCCCTAGCCCCAGATCAGCTGAAACAGCACCACAGAAAGAGGGAGGCCTACACCTGCTCTTCACAGACTATCGTAGCAACCCTCAGGTAAGGTCCTGGTAGGGCTGGGGTGCTACAGGAAAGAGTAAGAAGTATTTGTATTAGTGATATATTTTTTAATACACCCAACATGTTTGCTTAAACGTTAAAAGCTGGCGAAGAATATCAGTTAAGAAAAACGCCAGGAGTTTCCATTTGGGCATCTAGGCAAATGGAGACGTCTGCATTGTAAAAACAGAGTAAGTGGGGGGAACAATCAAAATACAGAAAAGACAGGGCATGTATGTATGTCACTTAACAAGGGAAGGAGACAAAGACATAGGGGAGAGAATTTCAAGTGCACACTTGTAGCCACTGGGTGGAGCTTAAGCCTCATGATCAGCCTAGGACCATGAAATTTCTTGAGATGTCTAGGCTCTGAGCTTCTTAGTCTACGGACTCAGCATGGCTAAAGCATTTCCTGGGTGTCTCCTGTGATTCCCCAGGGTTATGGTAGAGTCCCTCAGATGGCAGCTCCAGGCCTTACTTACATGGTTGTCAACTGGACTCAGGAGGGCTTTGAATCAAATGGGAATCTGTTTTCCTTCCCACAGGTTTTCTTTTGGCTCTCTCTTATTGATGTATGTCATCCCCTCTTCCAGGGTTGCTATGAACTAATCTCTGGACCAATGAACCGTCATGCCTGGGGGGTTGCCTGGTTTGGATTTGCCATTCTCTGCTGGACTGTGAGTATCTTCAGCAAGTATTTTATTTCAGAAAGGATAAGGAGAGCCCTTGAGATGGCTGCTGGTTACTTCAACCATACCACAAAGTCTGGGAACCAAATCATGCAGCTAAAAGCTAGCCAGGAAAGGTCTAGCACCAGACCAAGGACAATGGGTCTCCTTGAGGTGTCAACTTCCCTAACTAGAGATGTGCTCTACTAACCAAACCTTTCTTCAGGCTGCCCCAGGTGTATTACCTTTGGGGGTACTGAGGAGCCTCTTCCTTCCCTTGCCAGGGCTTCTAATAGAACTCCAGCTATGCTCTAGATCTCAATAATTGGGTGCAACTAGATCTCAAGGACTGTCCTGTCACCTCTGTAGACAGCACCTGTCCAACACTAATCCACACAGTGCCTTCAAAGAGCAGCCCACTGCTTCCATCACTTCCTGCTTCCTCTCTATGAGAGGCTCAAACAGTGAGGTCAGAGCTCTGGTTCCCAGCTCGGCTGTGCATTACAACCTCCAGGACAAAGCAGAAGCAGCATGGGCTGATCTCTGCAGTACCGTTCAGCTGAGCCAGGGACAGGGCCCAGGCTTTTTGTTTTGTTTTGTGTTTGTGTTCAGATGATTCTAATTTTCGGTCAGGACTGAGAACCATTACATTAGGAAAACAATCTCAAGCTTTAGGTTTTAGTAACTCTTGAATACTTCAAAATATATTAAGGATTCCAAAAAGCTTTATTCTATGTGGCCTGTATCTATTGACATTTACTTCTATTGGGTATTAACACGGAATTTTTAAAAATCTTTATTAAAATAAAATAACAAGGTAAGAGAGGTGGCTTCAGTGCTTAAGAGCACTGGCTGCCCTTGCAGAGTGCCCGATTCAGTTCCCAGCACCCACATGGTAGCTAACCACAATCCATAACTCCAGTTCCGGGGGATCTGATGCCCTCTTCTGACCTCCATGGGCATTGCACAACATGGATGCACTTACATACATCCAGGCAATACACTCATACACATAAAATAAAAATAAATAAGGGCTGGAGAGATGGTTCAGTGCTTAAGAGCACTGGCTGTTCTTGCAGAAGACCCAAGTCCACATCCTAGCACCCACATGGCAACTGACAACCATCCTTAACTCCAGTTCCAGGGATCCAATGCTCTCTTCTGTCCTCCGTGGGCACTGCACAACATGGGTGCACTTACACACACACACACAGGCATTACAAGCTAATATAAACCACTTTTTCTTAATGGGGAAAATAACTATTTTACAAAATGAAAGGTTTAATAAAGTAGCATTTGCTTCAGATGTTTGCCCAAGCTCTTCAATGTCTGGCTTGGAGGGAGAATCTAGGTTCTCATATTTTCTCCTTCATTCTGCCTCCTCTCATGTGTTGCCAGCATTGAAGGATTTGAAGAAACTAGATCCTTCATTTCACGTGTAGTTTTTAAAAAAAGAATGTTTTGATAACCTTATCTGAAAATAATCATATACCAAACTCCACAAGTTTCTTAAAGATCAGTTGCAACAGGGAATCTGAAACCAAGTTAATGATGAGCTTCCTGTATTCTTTGCATAACTCTTTCTTTTTTTCACACTGGGAATTGAATTTAGTGCCTCACACTACTAAGCAAGCACTCTACCATTAATCTGCATTTCCAGCCCTTGCATAAATCTTTGGTCTATACATAAATCTACAGCATCATGAACTGGCTATTTGGGAAAAGTCTGGTTCATTATGTTCTGTAGATCTTCCCAGTATTGATTTATGAGACATCAAAAGATCACATTCATTAATACTGACATATTGAAAAAGATCTCAGACAATGGAATATGACCAAACTCAGGGTAGCAGGTGATTTTCCAGAGATAGGATTTTTGCTTGAAAGCTCAGATTTATTGTTAGCAATGTATGTTGTCAAGTGTTTTCCTTGAGGTGACAAACTAATTTTGTAAATTTTGGAGAAAACAGCTGTCCAAATAGCCAAGCCTGACTAGCCAGACCTTGTCAGTCTTTTTTTAAAGTGAAAATGGTGTTTCATGGAGAAAAAATAATGTCTAGGTCAGTGTATAGCCAGTTAACACATGCTTTTCTTCCAGACCATTTTCAATATGCCATGCAACTTTGTCCATTTTTTGTCATATAGAATATTTAAAAGATGTGTTGAAGGCCAAACAATAATAACATTGGTAGCTTTTCCTGTTTCGTGGAGGGAAATCTCAGGAAAAATGGCTTTATTTCACTGAGACTCAACAGTCTTACCCTCTGCTGCTTTTGCATTATCAGAGTCCACGTAAAAACAGTGAAAAGGCAAACACAGTCCTGTTACTAAATATCCTTTATCTCATTGACCCTTGAAAGGGCGTCTCTTGTATCGTGCTTTGAGAAGTGCTTGCTTAGAGTATGACAAACCAAGGCAGGAAAGAGAAAGCTGTCATTTCAAGAGACCTTTTATGATCCTGCTTACGAGTTCACCCTGTGTACATCTCTGTTGTGAAACTGTCACCGTGACATATTTGACTCTGCCAGAGGCTAAGGACCAGCTGTCTTTGTTCGCCGGTGCCCGGCATACCACATAGTAAAGGCTCAATAATTTATTGAATGAATTGAAATGACAATAGGGAAGTGTCTATTTGTGCCATGCCAAGCAGGAAGTTTAGGATGTTTAAATTCTTCTATGTATCTTAAAGTTGCAGACCAATTGGAACCCTTTGATACTTCCACAAGTATCAATACTTTCTAGATAGAGTAAATCTCTCCGGAAATTCAGTAGAGGAGGGATAAGAACTTAAGGTACTGAGGATCTGCTGGGGACAAAACACCATGTCAAAGTCTTTTCAGATGAAATTCCCTCAAGAGCAGGTTGACAGGTAGCTAGTTCCCATTACAAAGAACTTTATTTAGGCTGGAGAGATGCGGCTCAGCAGTTAAGAGCACTGGCTGCTCTTGCAGAGGACCCAATTCAGTTCCCAGCACCTACATGACAGCTAACAAAGTCTTTAAGTCCAGTTTCAGGAGATTCAACACCTTCTTCTGACCTTCATGGACATTGCACAACACAGGTGCACTCACATACATGCAGGCAATACACTCATACACATAAAATAAAAATAATAAAATACTTTTTAAAAAGAGATGTATTTGAGAAGAGCTCCTAGGCAGACCCAGGTCACGGCTGTTCACAAAGGACTTTCCTGTAAGACTTGATAAGACAAAACTCTTTAGAGAGCAGCTTCTATGATTTGGGGTTAATTACCTATCTTCCCTGTGCCTCAGGTTCTTCAGAGAGCTCTAAAAACAAATGGACCTGATCCATATAAGTTCCCCTAATAAACATGAGGTCCGATTACTATTTCATTCACTGCTCTAGCTCTGTGGTAGAGAGGGATGGTATGATATTTATTTTACAGACGCAGAGACCGAAGCTCAGGAAAGCAAAACAATATGGCTAGAATCCCTGGGCATAGACAGCAGATCTGAAACAGCCCAGACATTCCAGCTTCTTGCCTAAGTGAGATATTTTGGGCACTGTGATGGTCTTCAGAGGTAGTCATTCAATGTGGCAGGCATTTTAGGATAGAGGGGATATCCCTGGGAGGAGAGGTTTGAATACTAGATGGGAAAAGCATCCCGAAAGGTTTCTACTAGAAACAAGACCGCACTGGAGAATAGCAAGCCTTGGTGGAGAAAGGAAAGAATTTCCTCTTGAGCTTCTTGAGCACAGAGCTGAGAAGGGTACCTGAGAAGTCAGCGAGTCTATGGTGGGAACATAGGAATAGGGAAGTTGCTCTGAGTCGTTATAAGTGATGCTCTGAAAGAGGATGCACTCAGTATCATCTGGCCCTGTGATACTGCTCAAGATCACTGCTAGAAATCTAGTGTCACCTGACCCTGAGCAGAAGGAACTTCATTATTTTGTTAAAGCAGGAGATGTTTCTAAAATCACCTCTTTATTATTTCTGTTTTCCTTTCCCCCATTTTTATTCTAGTTTTGGGTTCTCCTGGGTACCATGTTCTACTGGAGCAGAATTGAATATTAAGGATACAGAGTCTCCACCCTACCTCCCTCCTCTAGTGACTCTGGATTTGGTGCTGGAAGCTGCTGTTTCCTCACATTCCCCATGTGTGATCCACCATGACATGCCAGCTCTGGTGAACTGAACTTCCTTTAGGGTCTCGGGCTGCTGTGATCCTCAGGAGTAGTATTTCATACTCTAGCCTAGGATTCTACAACATATTTATGTGCTATACGGCAGAAAAGTTGGAAAGTGGAGTTGACTCTTATTTCTATTTGTTTTTGAGGTAGGGGCACAATGGTATTCCAAGGAACCTGCGTGGTCAGTGTCAGCCCAATCTGTACTTAAGAGTAAACCTGAGAAGCAGTCTCTCTTTCTCTCTAGTTTCTTCAAAACAACCTTGCAAGGTTTCCATTTGGCTCAGGGTGGTCTGAGTGAGGGAAGGAAGTGGGAAGTGGCTGAGCTATGCCTTCTGCCTCCAGCTCTACTGTGCCTTCTGTCTGCAGAGACTGCTGATACTCTCTCATGGTGACACATTTGGATCCTTCTGTTCTCCGGACATTCTTTGGTCTTTAGTTTACAAGCTCAAATTTTCTCTCATGCTTTACAGAGTGACACATGTTTAGCAACTCCATTCTGCATTCATTAAAAGTACATAAACTTTGGGGACATAGGCGGGGCCTGTTTTACATTGACTCAGTCTTTGCCCTGAATGGTTTCAACCTGAAACCATGAGAAGCAGGGTGGCTACTAGAACCCGTGATTTATGGGGACTTAGGTTTGCTGTCAAAATGCTTTGTCTCTGAACTATGCTTCCATTTACAATCCTGAAGGAAGTTCTGACAACTCACCATTTATTTACCTAAGTATAAATAAAAAGGTCTTTGAATTATGCTCACTTTCTTTTGTTTCTACCAGTGTCACAATCGATCCTGCGTATGTCTAATAAAATGGGTTTCCAAAAAGAAGAGCCCAGCTATGGGGGTTAAAATGGGGTTGGTGGGGGCCACACACCAGTGAGGTTCCTGCTGGCCATTAGCTCACCTGTCAAGGGAAATGGCTGAAATTCTATATTTAGTTTCACTCTTCCCTCCTGCTACATTGACATATGGAGCTATTCAACTCCTTCCTGTTCCTTAAGTACCTGGAGGCAATACACTCATCTCTGATGCCAACAGCCTAACCAGGTTTCTTATGAAGAAAACATACTATCTCATCACTTAGGAATAGTCACCTCAGGCACAGTGGCCCTGCCCTACCAGGTCCCTGTGGTTAGGTGAACACTGAGGCAGAGGAGGACAGGTCAGGAAGGAGTGGAGGACACCCCTATTGGCAGGGGCCTGGTCTCTGGTCCCCAGCAGAGCTTGCCTCCAATCCTCCACCTCACTTCTGATCCTCTTGCCCCTGCCTACCTAGTGCTCTGACTACAGGTATGTACCACCACAGCCAGTTTGATGCGGTGCTGGGGACAAACCCAGGGCTTTGTGCATGGTAGGCAAACACTCTGCCTACTTGCCTACTAAGCTACAACTCCTGTCCCTGATGCCTTTTTATTTCCACCATGAATTAGGTTGTTCTAGTGGGCTCTCCAACTGGCTGAATGGACCCTGAGCAACCCCACTCCTGCCCTCCCTCTCAGTGCTTCGTGCTCCAACACGCTCTCTAATACAAAATCCCTGTCTCCTGATTGGATCTCAGCAGCAAAAGTGCTGCATAAGCAGCTCGAACTCCACTATCCATAGGAACAGGTTTTGCTCTTCACAAACCAAGGAAGGCTGGGAACCCAGGAATCCCAGTGACCAATGTGATGCTTGAGAACACATCTGTCAACTGGGGCAGATAGGTCTGAGACTCTCCCTATGTAATTTCATTTACACTGCTGAGTCATCTTCAGGTCAATCTCCCACAGTCTGGGCTGCTGCTTTCTGTTCCACCCCTCCCCCTTTCCCTGGAGCTTCTCCTCCTGTCAAGCCCCTGGGACTGAAACCAGGCTATAAAGCCCCGGCTCCAAGCTCATCAGAGCCCAGACCCAGACCAGGGAAGGGAAGCAAACCAGAGGGTTTGGCTCTGGGAACTGGCCAGCTGCAGGGCTTGAAAGCATTCAGAGAGGACCATCTGGGAAATCTCCCTTTTCCAAAGCAATTAGCCTGCCCACTGGGTGGGCAAGGGGCCATTAGCACCTAACCCCACACTGGGTCAGGCCAACAATGGGGCAAATTTTATTGACTACAACACTGACAGGTCACCCTGCTCTCTGATTGGCCTTATTCTACCCAATGATTAGCCAGGCCCTGGCAGCCTGTTTATAGGTAACACTTCAAAGTCCTCTGCTCATATTTGTCAGCCTTTGAGCCAGAATAAACAGGATGTGCTTCTGTTTGAAGCAGCAGATATTTTCAGCTTTTCATGATTAGTATATAAACTTGAAAATCAAATGTCCACAACTGGGCCCACCTGTACAACTGACAAGTGCTGGTGTAGTACTGGAATTAAAACTAGCCTGGCTTCTTCCTTACTACGGAGTGAAGGATTGTTCGCTTCATCTGGGACCTACTTTTTCCTCTAATCTCTCTTTCCTGCCTCACCTCACTCAGCTCCTTATCAACTCCTGCGCAACAAACTCCAGAATGTCCAGGAACAGTTCAACAGCTTGATAAACTACCCAGTTCGTGGATGACATTTATTCTAAGGCTCAAGTGGTCACATTCAACAAGGAGATCTAGAAAGGCCTTAGAGAAAGACAACATTGCCAACATATGCAGAGCTATCTCTCAGCCAGTCTTCCCCGAGCCCATAGTCCCCATCCTTCCCCCAACACACACAGACACAGACACACACACACACACACACACACACACACACATACACACACACACAACAAATAACTGAGTCCTGGGGTTAAAGAGGAATCATACTGGGGCTGGAGAGATGATTCAGCGGTTAAGAACACTGGCTGCTCTTGCAGAAGACCTGGGTTCGAATCACAGCACCCACGGCAGCTAACAACTGTCTGTAATTCCAGTTCCAGGGGATCCGACAGCCTCTTCTGTCCCTTGGCATTGCACAACACGGGTGCACCTACCTACAGGCAGGCAATACACGCATACACATAAAATAAAAATATATATATATAAAATTTTTAAAAAAGAGAAATCATACTGCCATGCTCTGCTTCCCATTGGTCTCTACTCCGAGTTCCTTTTTAAAATTTTATTATCTATTTTATGTGTATGAATGTTTTGACTGAATGCATGTAAGTGTACTGTGTGTGCAATGCCTGTAGAGGCCAGAAGAGGATGTTGAATTCCCTGGGTGTGGATGCTGGGAACCAAACCTGGGTCCTCTGGAAGAACAGCCAGTTCTCTTAACCACTGAGCCATCTCTCCAGGCCCATACCCTGAGTTCCTCTTGAAACAGGAAGACAGAGCATCCCCCACATCACAGCTAGTCTCCACTCCTTGGATCCTGCTTCAGAAAAACACGTCTATCCTCACACAGGACTGGGAGAATTCCTTAAGACATGTTAAGCATGTGTTCAAACAGGTCCCAGTCTTTTAAGAGACCTCTAACAAGAAAGAATGCCATAATCCAGGCCAACACACCAACTAATGCTCTGTGGCTTCTACTTATTGAATAAGCTTAGCGACCAAGTACATTAGTCCAAATTTATTGACCATCAAGTAATAGCTACACAAAATAGTGTTTCAGTAAAACTCCTACCCAGTAGCAGGCTGTACTAGAGTCAAGTCATTTTAACCTCACATTCTCTGTATTGTCTCTATAGTCCTCACAACAAAATGAAATCTCTACTCTTACTAAGTTCCACGATCATTGTACATTGTGATATTTGAAGCTGGGGTGGGGAACACAACATTGGTGTTGGACCCTCTGGAACTGGAGTTACAGACAGTTGTCAGCTGCCATGTGGGCACTGTTATTCAAACCCAGGTCTTCTGCAAGAACAGCCAGTGTTCTTAAGCACTGAGCCATCTCTCCAGCCCTAGAAAGTTAAAATTTTAAAATCACAGAGCAATTGCCTAGCATTATGTGAGGCCCAAAACCACAAAATTAAAGACAAAATAACAAAAATAAAAATGGGGGGAGGGGGTTGCTGCTTTTACAGGTGACCCAAGTTTGGTTCCTAACATCCATGTTGGGTGGTTCACAACTGCCTATAACTTCAACTCCAGGGAATCTGTTGCGCTCTTCTTGCCTCTCTGTGCATGCACACACACACACACACACACACACACACCATATATGCACTCAAGGCTCAATATTTATTGACTCCTTGATAATAGCTGTTTAACTAAACAGTGGTCAATGGAGCCTTTGCCTGTACAGACGTGCTCCCTGGAGGTGAGACTTCCGAACCACTCCCTTGAGTATAGTTTGAAGGCCCCTCTGATTCTTTCAACAGGAATAGGATTATTACCCATATACTATACAACAATGAAAGTGGCAACCGTTTCAAATTTCTTGACAAATAAGAACTTGTGAATGTACCTGAATATCCTCCATCTTGCAGCACATGTAAATGGTTTGTGACAGGGCCTGCACTATTTACAGGTCTTGGACGAAGTGGAAATTTTAGGTAGAAAATGTCTTTCATCTCCCTCAGGAGTCCATTCACAAAAAAATGTGGGGCTCCCAGGAAACATATCCAACTGGGGAGTAGGTAAATGTTAAAGGGTAAAGAACAAAATAACCAGGGGTAGAGTCTGAAAAAAGTTCAGAAACCATGAGCGCTTAAAGTACTTTTAAAGGCTCCAGAAGAAACCAAACTTCTGTTGGAGCGAGATCAGGGTTATAGATTAAGGAAAACTGCCCAAAGAATGACCAGCCCAGATGAAGGCAATGGTCTTGCAGTCTGGTCTTGATTCTGGCATTGCCCAGCTGTGGGGTTTCTAGCCACGATCCGCCAGGTCTGGCTCTCTACCTCCTCACCTGCCCCTCTTATCTCAAGAGATGGCAGCATCAATAAAGCACGTGTAAAAACATCACAACCTGTAAGTTCCATAAAAATAAGTGCCAGTGTGAGAAAAAAGCAAAAAAACTGTACAGTAGCACACTTGTGGGGATAGGCAGTTGTGATACCCAAATAACCTGCATGCATCCATAGCCTGCTCTCAAATAATCCTTAGAAGCCCCGGTAGGCATGTCTGCCTCTACAGCATTCCAAATGCATGCTGCCTTTATGGCACTATGACCAAATACACGGGCAGGAATTGGGGGCTTCTTTGAAGCCAGCCCCCACTGCCCAAATGTTAAGTGAAAAATGGGGAGGGGTGGGTGACAGCAATTAGCAAGCAGGTGCCACAGAGCTCCAGCCAATCACTGGGCCTTGAACTGCCAGAACCAATCAGATGTTAAAGGGTGGCAGGAAGGTCCCCAAAGAGTATCTTCTACCTCAAAAAAAATCTAAGTCATTGAAATGACTTGTATATTTCTCTGGTTGAAAGAATTCACTGAAGAAAAGTAAAAGGCATAGTTCAGTGGGTTTCAACATCTTGCTAATGCAGATGCCTATAACAACAAAGGGCAAGCAGTCTCTATGTCATTAGCTACATTCTGTTTCCGTTAAGAAATTGATTCTCAAATATGAATCCTCAAATCCCAACACACCACTGTCACTGTTACCCTCCCCAGCCATGTTCTGAGACCCTCAGCCTCCAAACTGCAATCAACTCATATCTTGATCAGGGATGGAATGCTAAAGACTCTAGAGAGAAGAGGGAAAGGGAAGGGGAAGGCTTACTCAGTATATTATACCCCATTAACAAGTCTCCCAAGAACAAAACTCCTTTATAAGGTTTAGGAAGGAAATAGGAAAGCCATGAGTACAGTTTTGCTAAATAAAGAAAAAATACAACTGTTACTCCCCATGCTGAGTTAATGATAAACCAGACTAGGCCTAGGTAAATGTCATGCCTATAAAATATCCTTTTAAATTCTTCTTCCTCATTTGTAACTCCTCCTTTCTTGGTCACTCCAAACCTTCCTACTCCCTTTTCCTATTTGGGAAAGATATATTATTTACCCTTACGGACTGGCACCCATTCATGTTAGAGTTTAATGGTAAAAGAGACGTGTAATGATGGTTGAGAGCCCCTGGGCACAGCTGTGTAACACTTAACATCTACATTATTTGTGTGCCCATTCATTTACTTAGGCAAATAAAATATTACTGTTCTGATCTAGTAACAGAACGGCATCTATGACCTTCTTTTGATTTCCCCCACACCCATACCCCACTCCTCAAAAGCTCAGCAATGCTGGGGGCTTCCTCCCCAATCCGTGCAGCTGCCATATCAGTGCCACGACCCCACCATCATTCCAAATGAGACTTCTCAAATTCTGTGCACCTGCACCCTGCTTGCCCTATTACCAGCCAGGTGTACCCTCAAAGCAGCCCTGCTGTTCCCACTGATTGTGGGCAGGAGACATGGAGGGGTGAAGAGAGTAAGAATTCAGAGGGGCTAGGGATTAAGATTCAGAGGTGTTTCATACAAGGAAGTTGAACACAAGTAAAATGGGAGGGCAGCAGAAGGATGAGAGGGTGGAGGGCTGTGCTTCATTTCTTCTGTTTTTAAGATGTCTGAAAACACATTCTGAACTGAATATACCTTTGGCCTCAAGTAACAGTCAAAAACAAGACCAAGCCCCAAAAGCTTTTATATTTTACTATAGAGGTACTTAATAGATGCATTATTAGTCAATACGTAGCTTATAAACGGCTAATTCATACCCTACATGTACAAAATCATTTTATAAAAATGCTTTAAAAACTAACAGATAATGTCCTGTCTGCTGGGCTATAACTGGAAAGTGCTTCTGACAAGACTGGGCACATTCAGGGTGTGTGGTGTACCGGGAAGGTATGAAGAGGAGGCCTCCAACAGAGGGTCAGTGGCAGCAGCCAGCACAGCCACACTCTGTCCTTCACCATCTCTCCATCCACAAGTTCACAGCATCTGATTCTTCCCTTCCTTCCCTTTTCTATGGCTTTCTTCTCACTCAGGATCCACCACTTCCCAGAAGGCCTCACAGGGTACGTAGCAGAAACATGTCTTAGTACCTTTCTATCTTAGGAGACAATCATTCCAGTTCTCTGAGATATTTGGGGATCTTATTTTCTACCCTTTAATCTCAAAATGCTTCACTTCAATCCTAAGTAAATATCCTTCAACAACACAGTTCTCAAGTAGCTTTCATTGTGTCATTCTGTGTCAACTTTTTATATTTAGTCCTTCAATATGTGCATTACAATATTTACTGTTGTAATCAAAACAACGAAGAAAGCTGTCTTGTTACAATGGTTCTAGATTCCATATCACCAAGAACTCTGCTGAAAAAATACAGAATGGAAAAATTCAGCCTAACCATTAGCTGGAACAAATTCTTACTGAGTGCTACTATGAAAAGCCTCTAGGCCAAAATTATTGCAGTCAAATCATCAGTTCTCCTGAACACCACTGAAAGATCCAGGGTCATGCACCAGTCCAGAAATCCACTGTGATGTTGGCATATAGAGGATTGTACTCCACAGACAGTAATCTGTAAGAACAACTCGTCAAGCCGTCTGTTTTCCAGACTCGTGACACTTGGTGTAAGAGCTTCATCCTAAAGATAAAAAGTACAAGTGAGAATGATAAAAATAAGAACTCGGCTCCATTGCCTTTTGCCTTCCTCAAAATGTGGCACAAGTATCTCTGCAAATTATTATACCTCTTGGGTTGCCAACTGCAAAAAGTTTCTTTTCCCCACTGAAGTTAATAGGTACCAATGATAGCCTGGTATTCATGTGTCAGACCCCACATGGGGTGGAAGAGTCACTGCCTTCAGTGGCCCCAGGCTATAGAATTGATACAAAAGGGATATGTACCACCCATTGCAAACAGGTCCTTGGCTGAACTTTAGGGGATCTCTGAATACTCCAATGTTGTTAGAAAAATTTTGTGTCTATAGACAGCAGGGTACATAACTTTCATAAGAATCTAACAAAAAAGGCGCATGTGTGTATATGAGGATGAATTAAGGAGCATCTCACTTCATGGGGAAATCTGAGGAGGGGTGAAGAGAAGGTCAGTTTCACTGAAGCTTAAAAAGACATGACGTTCACTAAGTGAAGAAGGAAAAGAAATAATACTCCAAGCAGAGTGACCACCTGGGCAAGGTGCACAGAGACACAAAGAACAGGATGCACTGGTGTGGTAGAGCTGAGAAACGGCCGGTAGGGGGATGGCAGTACATTGACTGGGTCTCTAGGAGCTCAGCAGGGAACAACACAGATTGCGATCAGAAGCACAATGTTGAGCTAAATCATGTTGGAGAAGAAACACAGCCTAATTTCATTATAGCCAACTGAAAAACACATAAAACTAAATAATGTTTTGTTTAAAAATATAAACCAAGAAACAGACTAAAAAATGATCATTAGCACAAATAATTATTACAAAAGTTCAAGAAAGTGTCATCTGAGGTTGGGTGGGGTAGAAAAGGGAAGATATGGGTTTAGGGAGGCTACGTGGACATACATAAGGGGTGGGGATATAAAAAATTTTATACTTTTCATACACTTTATAAAACTATTCAATAAGTAATTCAAACAGAAAAATGCACAAATGAATACAGACTGGAAAGAAGCAGAAAACAGCTCTTTTGCTAAAATATAGCCTTTAACAAAAAGGCTACAAGATTTTTAAAACTGTCTTAAAATGTTGGAATGACAGCCTTTAACAAAAGGGCTAAAAGCCCTGATTTTTAAAGGGAAAAAAAAACAGGACAAAGGAACACAATTTTTTTCTATCAGAGCCACAAAAAGACTGCGTTTGTCTGCCAGAGTTCCTCAGGAAGGCCACGTCCTGGGCAGCAAAGAAGGCAAGGCTGAGACATCGCTCCCAAGGCACAGAGCAAAAGCTTCAGACCACTGTGGCTATGTCCAAGGACAGGAACCAGCTCGAAGAGATCCCACTGGCCACAGACGAGAGCACTTTCTTATCAAGAACAGTGATTCAGCCTGAAGGAATGCTAGGGGCAGCAGATCATTCTGAAAAATGATGAATCCATGCCTGGCTCTTGCCCTTTAGTCTGTCTTTCCTGTAAGAACTGTACCCACAAGGGACTCAAAGAGATGGAGAAAGCCAAGTCCTTCTTTGTAGAAAAATTGAATGAATGAAGAGGAATGATGGCATTACAACATTACAATTTTGCAGCCCTTGATTAAGGAATGCATTTAGGCAATGAGTGTCAGGCACTGAAAAGCATTCAGTGAAGAAATGATGAGGACTCAAAATGAGCGATCGGGCTGACTACCTAAAGTCACACTGCAATCCTGATGCCACAAATATCGACACAACCAGATGCTCCATCCACCTGCTGTGAAGCATGGAGGCAAACAACACCAACAATAAGGCACTGCTGCCCCAAAATAACACCCAGAATCCATTCAGGTTTCTAGAAATCTAACTCCTTGTCACAGGAACACATTTAATCACCAGGATGTAACTAGCAAAATCCATAATGAAAGACATTCTACTGGATAAATGGCCTGATATGTTCACCAAATAAACTGTAAGAAATGAAACCAGAAAATGAAGGGGTAGGGTGTGCAGTACACCAAACACCCACAGCATTCGGAGGCTGAGAAGGCTCACTAGCCTGAGGCACAGTGGGCTACATAGATAGCGAGACCCTAGTTCCCAAAAGGAAAGGAAGATGATCCTGATACAGTGTGGACCTTGTTTATTTACTACACCGAACAAACCAATGCTTTTTTAAAAAAAAGCAATTTTAAGATAATCAGGAAAATCTAAAAACTGGACATGTGGTAACATGAAAGTATTTTGTTCATTTTATTTTAGGTATGATAATAGGACTATGATTCTTTTTATAAGACATTATTATTATTATTATTATTATTATTATTATTATTATTATTGGTCTTTTTGCTGGGATTAAAGGCGTGCACCACCACACCTGGCTAAAACTTCTTATATTTTAAGGATGTAGGCTAAAATATGTGCCCATGAAATTCTGTGCACCTGTGATTTATTTCTAAATAATCCAGCAGTACAGAAGAAAAATGAGAGGAAAGAGAGAGGTCATGAGTTCATAATTATTGAAATGAAGGTTCTTTGTACCATTCTCCTTTACTTCTGGTTCTGTTTGAAGAATTCCTTAACAAGAACATTTCAACAAGATACACTGGTTTACGTGATCAAATTCAGCAGAGTGCTTTACACACAGGAGACTTGGTACCCAGGTGGGTACCAAGCATAGGAAGCCAAGACTTACCGGTCCACATTCACTTCATTCCCTCTGTCTCTGGTGTGGAAGATCATGGTGTATTTACCCACATCAGGCTTAGGCCGGAATATTTTCATTTTATGGAGCTCAACCCTAGAAAAAGAAGAGATTTTTTAAAAAATCCATCCCATTTATCTACTATTGAGGACCTAAAAAGAATCACCTGCAAAAAAAAATTTTAAATCACATGTACATAGAGCTTTACTAGGTATCAAAAAAGAACAACTTATCAAACTGAAGATTTTCTTATTATGGTGAGGACTCAGGTAATGAGCCCATGAAAGAATCACATTTATGGTTACCCCAAGTTCTAGGGCAGTCTGAGCTACATGGTGAGACACTATCTCATGAAAAAAAAAAAAAAAAAAAGAAGACAAGAAAAAAAGAAATGCCTAGGAAGGGATAAATAGAAGATGCTTCCACCTATCGCAGGCTAAGTCCCTGCCCTCAACTACCAGCTACACATTTGTCATCATCTGTCTTTCCTGACTTGTGGACTGACCTGTCTGGTGACGTAAACCACAATTTCATTCAAAGTCTTCAAGATAAGCTCAGATACTGCAGTAACTCCTCAGACTTGCTTGTGAGGTTAAAAAGGACATGTGGAGGACCTTTCTGTTTCCAAAAGAGAAGGCTTACCCAGGCACAGATATGGTCCAGGGGCAGAGAGGCAGGAGGGCAACATTTAACTGGTCTATGAACTTTCCAGGAAGAGGACTATTCACTGTGAAATGCTACGCTATACTTTGGATTTAGTATAGATTCAGATGGTTCAGAAACAGGTTTGCCATTTATTAGGTAAATAACTATGAGAATTAAATGAAAACAAGTATGTTTCAGCTGAGTGGCTGGCACACTGTGAGCGCTCCACAATGCTGCTCTTTGAGGACTAAACACTGTCCTCTCTATCCAAAATGCCACCAAGATATTTAACAGCCATGTTTTGCTAACAAGGAATTAACAAAAGCATACCATGAACCTAAATAATTTCCCAAAAATGTTCGTTGCATAAATTTCAGCAGGCTATTTTAGAAAAAGATCATTTAAAAAAATTAAAAGAAGCTGGGAATGGTAGCACTTGCCTATAATCCCAGTTCTGGGGAGAAGAGACTGGGACAGGAGCCTCACAAGAACTTGAGGCCAGCCTATGCTGACAATGAGACCCTGACTCAAAAAAACAATAAATAAAGGAATCATAGTTAACATTTACTAGTGGAACACAAAGGAGATATACTAATTTACTGTTATTCATTTAAAAAAAGAAAGAACCCAATAAAGCATTCATTTTAAAACATTCTGAAGAACAGGAAAATCAAGTCTATTAGAATCTGTAATTAATGTCTTCTTACACAGTGAAAGGAATGACTGTTTAAAGTTATAAATCTTAAGATTTATTTTATTTTTTAAAAGTATGTGTATATCTGTGTGTCTGTGTGTAGATTTCTACACTGTGTGTGCAGGAGCCTGCAGAGTCCAGAAGATATTGGATCATCTGGAACTGGAGTTACAAGTGGTTGTGAGTCGCCTGATATGGGTGCCAGGAACTGAACTCAGGTTCTCTTTCAAGAGCATCACATGTTCTTAACCCCTGAGCCATCTCTCCAGCCTAAGTTATAATCTTTTCATGTATGTAAGTGTACCACATGCATGTAATGTGCACGGAGGCCAGAAGACAGCATTAGATCCCCTGGAACTGGAGTTACAGATGGTCGTTAGCTACCATATGGGTGCTGGGAACCAAACCTGGGTCCTCTGCAAGAGCAGCCAGTGCTCTTAACCACTGAGCCACCTCTGCAGTCCTCCTGCACTCCAAGTTATAATCTTTAAAGCCATAAACCAAGGTTCAAATCTAAATGTTATAACTGACAACTTCAGTGAGTTAGGTCACCATTCCAGGTCTCAATCTTGTCTAGAAAATGAGAACTGTGACATGGAATGCATTTTAAAGACTTACCATAATTCACACAGAACATGCTTTGTAAGGAAATTCTTAGAGAAATAAGTTAACCAGCTCATATATTTTTACCTAATTTTTAAACTTGCCTTAAATGTTGAGCTTTGTTCAATCTTTAAATCTTGTTGTAAATTACCGTATTGAAGCAATTTAACTTAGAAAACCACAGGAATATGTGTGTGTGTGTGTGTGTGTGTGTGTGTGTGTGTGTATTAAAGACAATTCTTGGAGAAGCCCATGTCCACACTAGGGCACATCTTATTTTTTCCCTGAGCACCTCTATTTCTATTAACACCTGCCAATAATCTATTAATTCATAACTCAAGCTTAGAAAGTTCCTTTCCAAGAGGCAATAGGAGACATAAAAGAGTCCCCTGACAGCCAGGAGGCCCCTGTGATTAAAAGTCTAGCATACAGGCCACAGGCTCTTGAATAGTTAGGGATTTATGAGTGGTAGGGACACCTATAACTATAGGGCCACAAAAGTTCATGTTCATGGGACAGAAATGAGACAGGAGGCCAGACATCCTGGGCAGCTTCTCCTGGAATCCTCCAAAACAAAGTTATCTGGGGGTCATACCATTAGCCCGCAGTCAGCCCTACAAGTAAGGCCAGAAGCTTCTCCTCCAGCATATGAGAAAGGATGCCCTCCCTTGTCTGAGGGGTGCAGCTCCTAGGAGGAGACAGCATTCTTTGCTATGCATACTGGGAATAGCGTCAGACTCCTGGGTCTGAGGAAAAGCTCAAAGCTTATCACAGACCCTTCTTGGAATGGCAGTCTTGCAGATACCCTCAAGTTTGGGACTTCCCATTCACTGGTATGACTTTGTTTTAGCAACTGATACTGGTGAGTCCTCTGAAGCCACCACCAACACCTCTGCACCACAAACTCAGTGGTTTCCAGGCTGCCATTGGCAGTGAACAGTTTGGTTCATCCTACCCTCTCTCCACACCCCACCACCACACCCCACCTAACTCTATGACCTTGTAACCTATAGCCTGGCATTTACAGGAACTATACATAAGCATGGGTTTCCAGAGTCACCACTGATAGGAGAGCCCCATGAAGGGGACCCTTCTCTGTTGTTCACCTGAGTCTGAGGTCATCGTCTTCGCCTCCCCATCCCCAGTAGTTGTTAGAGAATCCATTCACCTTGAAAAATTGCTCTTTGCTAAGGGCAGTAACACCCCCAAAATATCCACTGTAACGTAACCTGGAACAAGAGAGAGGAGAGAAAGGGTGATGACGCTAGCACAGAGACCTTCCCCCCCCCCCCCCC